TCTTCTTCCCTTTCTTAAAAACGCTGTCTTTCGTGAAATTTAATTATTTAATTTTCTAGTATATAACTTTCTACAATAACTACATAAACATCTCGATAATAATTCCTGATAAAATGTGCACTTCATTTTGCTTTGACGAAATTATGTTCACTTTACTGAATATTTATTTACTATTAGACTGCATATTTATATTTTATTACAGGAATTCAAATATAAGAATTTAATCTCGTCAGGACGGATTTTATTAAGAAAAAGTTTCACTGAAAATGGAGATTTTATTTTATTTTTAATTAAATTATTTTTAATTATACTTTTAATTCAAAGTTTTGAAGCCTACGTTATATTTCCTTCCATTCATATACAAGATCCTTTCTTCGTCATTTCTTATTCTCTAATGGTGTAATTTAGATTAATTTCTCTAGAAAGTAGATCTATTTATAGAGAGTAGAGCTATTTTACCATAATTTCCTATACACACCGAACATTGAACCACTCGCGTAATACACGTGTCCATATAAATTTAGCCTACATTCGCTAACTGAAATAAACGTCGCAAGAAATTTCAAAAAATTAATAAGAATGAAAGATAATGGTGATAATTTTATTTACGAAGGATAGCACGATCCTAAATGAAAATAAAAGTTACTCGAAGAAAGGAAGTAAAGTGCAACGTAACTTAGTCCACGTCTATCCCGTTCACGAATAGGACTCGTTCTAAGATCCCCCCTGGCCTCGACCAGTGTGCATAAACATCAAAAATCGTGTCTCGTAGAGAGTCGACCGGTATTTGACTACATCCTGAGCATTCGTGGCACGCGTTGACCCAGAAACCAACCCCTGGTCTCATCAATTTCGCGAGCGTGGCAGCGATTCAGCCGCTCGAATCGAATAAATACGAATAAACCCGGGGATTCTAGCACGGATCGAGGCGTTTCTGGTTCACTTTTAATAGAGAACTTTGAAAAATCCAAGAGCAGCCCGCTACGTGACGCGGTTTCCTTTGTTTGGCGCTTCGCAGAGACTGGGACGAAGTTTATGGTCTTCCAAGGGGGATGTTTAGTGGCAACCTAGTTTCTTCTGGACTGCACAGATTGAGTTGATTGATGTCCCTGGGAGGTGGAACGTCTTCCACCACTGGTTCAGGTGCTTTGACGAAGGGTACTTTGACACGGAAAAGTCCGTAATCCTTGACGAGATTGAGGTTATGTTCTGGATTATGACGGTGATTAGTGTGCTTCCTTTCCTAGGGAATCTCTAGGGACTTTACGAAGATCGGTATTCGTAGATCAAAGTTGAAGAGAATCCGATTTGTTCATTTACTTTGAAATAAATTTTTCATCGAATAATAAATAAATAAAATTGGACAATAATTGGAAACTGAACCGATGTTAACAGAGTCGGCTTTTTGAAATCAGATTTGAAATAAGAGGAACGACTGTCCGGAGTAAATATAATTTTTATCCAATCAACGTAATCACTCGAACGAAAATACTGAAAATGGGGCAGAAAAAGGAAAATATTTTATCGAAGGATTTACAATGAAAATTCGATAAAAACAATTCAAATTCGAAATAATTAACAACGAAATGATAAATAAACTTGTACTAATATTTATGTTATTGAAATAATAAACATGTTGACGATCCTTCGGTGTGTTTTCGAAAAATGGCCGCGAGCGATTTTTAACATAACCTGTTTACAAGATTCCAGGATCATAAGCCAATTATCTAAGGCTCGATCAATTAATCCGTGAATATCGATGACGCTTTTAGCATTAGCATCGGTGTTTAACGATGCACCGTTTATTTGACCTTTGCCCTTCGTTGGGGTAATTTTCGCCGGGAAAGCGTGAAATAATTCACGCACGTGTACATGTTCGCGCGTGGGAAGGCGCGTGATTTAATTAAAGCAAACTCCGCGAGCAACTCTCGCCGCTTTGGAAATCGGAAATGCGAGCTGAACGATGGTATTTCGACGGGCCTGAAAATAGATTTCTATCTCGTTAGCACGTGTATAATTAGTTGCTCGTGTTTTTTCAACGTTCCACCGTGTAACGAGGTATAAACAAGCGAGTAAATAAAAAAAAAAATCAATGATACCACGCGTGCATACGATGATCTCGTAGAAAGGAACGCGATGAGTCCATTCTTGTTGATGTTCCGATTTTTCTGCCATCTGACGGCGGAATGGTGTAAGCTCGCCGCTGCGTGGGCGAAGAGGGGAACAACCAGTCAAAAGATACAATAACATTAAAAATAGGTAACAGAGGCTGGAATAGGTTGTCAAATATATTTAACATTATATATTAACCCTTGTAATCAATCGTTTAATACTATATTTTTAATATTAAAAAGATACTAATGTTAAACATATAAACATCACATATTAAATATTAAATAGTGAACATTTTAAATTTAGAAAATTTGTAAAACATTATTAAATTTATATATTAATTATTAAATATTAAATATGTAATATTATATAATAAAATTAAATTTATAAAATTCGTGGAATATTATTTAATTTACATGTCAAATTTATTTACATCTAATGCATTTGTTATATCGTATTAAATTTAAACGTTACATTTTTCTAATTCCAGAAACATCGTTAAATGTAAATATCAAATTTGATATTCGATATTAATCTTGAAAGGAAATAAAAAGACAGTTTTGCTGAAAGAGGGATTGGTTGACATTACTTTGAAATTTTAAATTGCTTCTGTGTGAGAGGAAGGGAAAATGTGATTTATCATATTTTCCCTTGTGATCTTAGCTTGTCACAGTATTCATTATAAAGGATGAAGAAGAATTGAAGCGAGTTATGTATGATGAAACCAGACCGCCTAGAAACGAATCTGTGAAAACGTGGTCCCAGGTTTAATGGTTAAAATTAATTTTAATCCGTTACGCTACCACCGGAAACGCTATAACATCAGTTTCTCTCTATTATTGTTTCTAAGAGGGACTGTGAAGTGTGATTTATTCTACGATTCTACGTAATTTCAAGAAACAGCTTCAATTTAATTACTACTTAACCTAAATGTAGAGTACGTTATTATTAAAAATAATATAGTAAGAAGAATGTCTTTTTGAATAACAAATTACATTTTCAAATAATATTTTTGTGAGCAACGAGTAACATTTCTCACTGCACAATATTAAACCCATCAATTTTCAGTTCATTTTAAAATAACCACTGAAAATTTTTACAAAAATTCTAATAAAATACTAACATGAAATGCAATAAATTGCGAACATTTTTATCATTTTAAAGAATTATTATCTTTTTGTTTTATGGTCATATGATATCAGAATCATAATTTAGAAGTGTATAGCTTCTTGTCTCCCAAATTTTGGAATTAATTCTGTTACTACGAAAAATAGGGATTTGAAATTTTAATATCTTGTATTTGACAAATTTGGTAGATAGATAGATTGAAGAGAATAATTTTAATAAGTAAATTGATCTATATATTCAATTTGATATTATTTTATAATACAATATAATATAATATAATTTAATTTAAGAACATTTAATAATGAGTAAAAATAAATTTCAATTATGGCAAATTTTTGTAATTATCAATACTCGAAGACGTTTCTTTTCGCATGATACGACTCACTTATCGTATTTTGATTAAACAATAAGCCAGATGAATAATTCGATCGATAATAATCTACTTTTGATTAAACAATCGACTAATTGCATAATTGGTTAGACAAGTTTTGTCTGAATCGAATATTGGTTTAATTGTGTAATTGAATCAGTAGTAATTTTATTTCAATCGAACGATGCACCAATTATGCTACTAATTGAACTTTAGTTGAAGTATCCAGGTACAGTGATTGATTTGAAACGGAAATTAGCAGGAAATTGTGTAAACGTTCCTACTTTTAGGTCTGCGGATAGTGTAAATAAAATTAGAGCTGCGTTATTTCGTTCAAAAATAAATCTCGGTTGTGAAAATTGAATGGGTTCCAACGGTTTATTGAAATTTCTGAAAATCGAAGGGCATGTGACTTTTTCTCAAGGACTGCTGCTGGAAATTTAAATTGCGCGAATTTTCAAATAAATTTTTATTCGCTTTCCTATCTCTTTTTCTATTTTCTTTTATGTTTTTATCTTTTCGAAGCAATGTTTCGTCTTTTAAGAAATTTATTTTCAATTTGCTCTGTAATTACTACTTGGACGTCTCTCATTATTCTGTTTGTAAGGTTTGTTCAACACTTGGTATCGGTAAAAGAATTCTTAATTACTGGTGAAACACAAAAGTTCGCGAGGACGAGAGATAATTAAATCTTTATAAGTTTATTAAAATTGATATGAATTTTAGAATTTATCTGTTAATGAGAAACAACTTTAAAAAGTGGCAGTTTATTAATTATGGAGGTAGAAAGATTAAAATAAAAGTTAAAATATCACTGTTTGATATTGTTTTTTCCATTTTCTGAATTACAAAAATTATAAAATATTTCTCTCTCATACCTTCTTTCAGTGTTTTAATTTTTTACTCTTTGCACATTTAGTATTACAACTTGTTTAATATTGCGATATATACCTACACAATTTTTTAGAAAGAAGCATGAAATTCAAAGAGGAAAATTCAATAGCTAATTTCTTCAAAGATGAACGCAGAAAATTAGAAAAATATAAAAATTTTTCAATATTAAAGGTATTATGCGAATTCTAATGAAAATAATCGGCTATAAAGATAGAATGAAATTGTCTGGAATAATTTTATCGTTCGTTACAAAGGAACTGCAAAGTATTAAGAAGTGAAGACTAAGATTAGAGGTAATAAAGAACAGAGGGTGTACAGTTTGCAACCGAGAAGACGCCACGCCTGCATGATTTTAGAGTGCAGCTTTTGGGAACACGAAGCAAACGTCGAGTTCATTGCAAGCTGAACGTTCGCCCATTAATCCTTCCTTCATTGTACCATGTTTGATAAATCGATGGGACGAGGAGAACTGATTTGTTTCTGTTTCATCTTGCAGCCATGGCGAGGACCTCATTGTCACGCCGTTCGCGCAGATCCTGGCCTCTCTGCGCTCGGTCAGGAACAACTTCCTGTCGCTTACGAATGTGCCCACGAACAAGTGAGTAGATTTGAACATAATCTAATATTTGAATAAAAATATTCACTTTTATATAGAACAATAATATCTTGTTAACGAGATAAATTAAAAACAAATGTACAATATCGTGGAAAAGTTTCAGATTATATAGCAGGAAAGGATTATGATCTTTATATGACTTTTATTTCATTTTATTTTATTATATATAGTGTTACTTTATGTTCTAATTAAAGGTATTTAATGTGAAACTTCGTAATATATATTTATTGCAAGAATTAATAATTACTAATGATGAGATAGCAATGACAATAATAAATTTTACATTTGTATATTATTTCAATGTATGAATAATTATGAATGTGTAATAATTTATTATATTATTATAATAAATAATAACACGTGATTAGTGATAATAGTAATAGATTAGTAATTAATTATTAATGATTATGAGGGAAACAGAACACCAAACTCGATATCCAATAATTAGGATATCTAAAATATCAAAATCAATATCCGTTTAAATAATTCCATATTTTAATAAAATTAAAAATGTAATATATGACTGAATAATTGATACATATGTATATAGAATTCTAAAATTAATATTCAATTAAGTAACTGCAATATTTGAAATTACAAATGTAATATGTAATTGAATAATTGTAGTATTTGAGATTTTTTAATTTTCATAACTAGAAGGTCTAGAATTTTTATTACAAATATAATATGTAATTGATTTATTGTAATATTTGAGATTTTTAAATTTTCATAACTAGAAGATCTAGAATTTTCAGTTTACACCAATCACTTCGTGTTCAAGTGTTGTAAAGATGTTTAATTACTACCACACAGTTAGGAGAATAATAAACACCGGTGGTCTGGAACATTAACGTTATACCATGCTCGTGTTATCTGAAATATTTGGTTAACGCGTATTTTTATTGCTTCATTATTTGGATTATTTTATCATTTTATTGCTATTTGAAGGCTGATGTAAATAGAATATTCCGCGTTTCCAGTTTCACCACTTATCGATAAACGACGATTGATTATGTGTACACGTGTACATTTTATCTTGCACGTGCCTTTATTCTTTTATTCATTTTTTATTACTTTTATTGTTTTAACACTTTATTCCCTATTATACTCTGTGTCTCGAGTTTTATCGTTTGTTTTTTATTATTTTGTTAACATTTTACATTCGTATCATTCAAAATTTCTTGTTTTGACATTTTCATTCAATTTATAAATGATTATTTAAATATTACATGAAACTATTTTATCAATTTTATACTATTTTCTTTTCTATGACAATTTCCAATGTCCGTTTCTAAATTTTAATTTAATCGAATTTTATTACCTTTTGCCAATAAATTTCGAATACTTGTATACTTTTTAAACGAAATAAAATAAATAGTTGTTAACCCTCTGTATCACGATTTAATTATGAAAAATTATTTTCATTTTAAATTATCGAAGAAGCATTTAAGTTTAGTTAATCACTACACATTTATTCTATTGACGAAAAGATTAGGAAAAAATCTTAGAAATTCTTTGAATTTTGTGCTTGTTAAAATATGTTAAATATAGTTATGGTCGCGTGATAAATGTAGCTTATAATCGTGAGATTTGACGTAAATTCGTGTCAAGTTAGACTCTTCGTTGTAATGCAAAGGGTGATTTTAACCATGATTAATTTAACAAGAAAATAAACTTCTTATTTTATTAATTAATCCAATTTTTATTGTGCATGTTATAATTCTTTTACTTATTTAATTGCATAAATTGATATTAAAAATGTTCTTTGACATGTTTATTTTCAGATCACGAAGGAGTAGCGGCGCACAGGGGAGCAGCACGCCGCAACCACGGATCTTGGCGCCAGGAGGTGAGGATCACTTTGATATCCACTAGAAATCATTCAAACTTGACCATTATTTTCTCCAAATAACGATAATACCATGAGATACACGATGAGGTACAGATACACCCCAGACATCACATTTTTATCACAATTATAGCAATATATAATAATTATGATAATAAGCTATAATAAACAGCATGACAATACAATACAGAAAGTGTACAAAAATTTAATTTCAAATTAATGAAGATTCTGTGTCATGAAAGTCAAGATCCAGTTAGGAAATTATAATAAAAACATGATGTATGGGGAACACCTGTTCCACTTGGTATTATGAGGTATAATACTCATAATTCTCATAATGCTCATAAATAATTCTCATAATTCTCATAATACTTATAATATTCATAGTTTTCATAATTTTCATCAATCCTGGACCATTGACCAATTATTAAAAATTATTATTGTTATCCAAATAAGACTACCACCAAATGCCTATGATTTCTAAAATCCATCCAGTTCGATATATAACCAACTCGTTATAACCCAAGCAACCTAATTATTCCTCTTCTCGTGGAAATTACTTTTAAGGTAAAAAGACAGAATCTTTTCCGTCTGGAACTAAAACGTTCGAGTTGCAGTACGATTATTCGATCCAACGACGTTCGTCTCCCTCGGAAAATGAGATTCTCGAAATTGGTATTGAAGTCCAGCTCCCTTTATCTTTACGTTCTGGTATCGCATTTCCTTCGTTCTGACGTCAATTCGCTTTTCCCTTTTCTTCTTTCGATTGATCTCTTCTCTGCTTCATTTATGCAACCTTTCATCTTTAACGAGCTTCAGGATTCCGTTTATTCCGTTTATTCCCCACCCATCGCCCTTCCATCCACACTCTTCATAATCCCTGCAAAGTGTTCTACGCCTTTTTGTTTCGAACATTTGCAAGCCCGTTCGCCCTGTTCTTGTTGCAGAAGTTATGATAATGAGAGAGGAATCTCATTACCGTGCGACTCTTGGAGCAAGGAAATTTCTGCAAAATTGGTTTCGATGATAGGGAAATTTTCCAGCGCGGTCGGAGCGGGTTCCATAAAAATTTGGTGGATACATTCTTCCGAAGAAATTATTGTATGCTTAAAATTGAGAATGTACATACTTCAAAGTGTACTTTGTTAGTCCTTTGTAACCCTTTGTCGAGCAAAACTCGACGTTCCATGAAGCTGAACTCTCTCGTTTGATTCTCTTTAAGGTTTAATAAATAAAAATGGCCTCTTACGTTGCAACTTGAGTTTACAAAGGCAGTATGGACAGCTTACTGAGCACGAAAATACGAAATTATTATGTTTACACAAATTATAATAACCACTTTACTGAAGAAAATTATTTGTTACGTAAAAAGAAGTCACATTTGGTATAATAATTTTTAGTATCGAATTAGAGCAACATTTCGTGTGATAATTTTCAATTATGATTATTGGAAATATATGTAGCTTATCTATTATCACCAATTATTAAATAGAAATATTACTTTTCATATAAGGACTTTTAATACTGGGTCAAAAATGATAATTATATAGTAATAATCATCGAGTACAAAATAGTAGCAATTTTAAATAAATTAAAAATTATTATTTCCAAATCAACCAAATCGAGGGACCTGTTTCGAAGAAAGAGTACCTTTCCAATCGTTCAAAACAAACGTTACGCCTGAATCTGTTAACTCTGTCGAAAAATCCAATCAATTACACTTTCGTGTCACTTCTCGTGAACTCCAGCTCGAGAAAAGACTCTCCAGCCTCTTGGAGCCTCGTTCTCTCACCTCTTTGCACAGCGATTAACTTCGCCGTGTCGCAAAGAGCTCTCAGTCGCTTCCTCTTTCGCGCTAACGTCCCCCTCTCTTCCGGGTTTCAGAGGAGAACTACATGAAACTAGCCGTGGAGACGATGGAAGAGCTGGACTGGTGCCTGGACCAGCTGGAAACCATTCAGACGCATCGATCCGTGTCCGACATGGCCTCTCTGAAGGTAAGTCCAACTTGCTTCCCTTTTTTCTCGCGTGGACACGCTCGATTTCCAATGAATCGTCGTTGGATCGAGTTCAACGCCCTCTAACAAGGCTGTGTCACTTTAGTGGTACAGTTAGGAAGTGATTTGGCACTCGGATTATCATATCTTCACTGATTTCACGAGATTGTTAAGCATATTGGATAATAACATTAATTTATGTAAAATGAATATACACTTTGAACAGTGGAAATTTGGAAACTAGGGAACGATAATTGGAGTATGGTAAGAGGTATAATTCCTAGGGAATTTGGAACAGTGGAGAGAATTTTGAAGTCATAAAAGGTGGTAAGAGATGGTGGAAAGATTAGGGTTACATTTAATTAAGTTTGAAATATAGGGTTATATTTAGTATATTTGAAATATGCTATTGTTTTTGTTTATCGTTTACTGTGATTGATTGGTAAATGCTTTAATCTGGTTATGGTAATATGTATGGTCTTTTTGGGAACTGAGAAGGTTTATGAATATGTTGGATTAGTATTAAAATTGAGAATGAAAATAAAGTTTAGTAACAAATATTTCCTTGGGTGAGCAAAGTAGCAGTGTATATGATTTACTAGGGATTTTCTAGAGATATTATACATGTAAAAGTGGAATTAATTTTAAGGGAACTGAGATTTGTTTAAATCCCAGGAGAATTTATAAGGATAATTCAGAAGAAGAATTTATGAATTTGAGTTTCTATTTTGGGCAGGACAATCTTTATGGGAATTAATTTGTTTTATTCTATTAAGGGTATTCTATGGTACGTACGTCAAATTTCTTGGAAGCATTTGATATTTATGTTTGCTTGTATAAATTCTTACTGGAGAAATTCTCAGTAAAATTTAATTTAATTCTGTCAAATATTTAATTATAATAACTAATAAAGTTTTCTGAAATTGATTGGACATAGTAATAGGTATAGAAAATTTTGTACTACTTAATTGCAAAATCAAGCTTCATTTAATTAAATGTAAATATAGTCTTTATGTTTTCTTATCTTGCAATGTTAAATTATAATTTAGTTAAACTATTAAAGTTTTTAAATTATATTTTTGTACAATTTAACTTTGGTTTGTAAAATGTTCTGTGTATAATGACTCAATTATTGATGGATAAGGCTACTGAGCAGAATTCTCTGGCTTCCATTGTATATAGAAATTTTACTTCCAATTAGTTATTTTCTTAAGATATAACTTTCAATGAATAGATGTTTCTAAAATGATTAGAACAGTTTCAATTAGTATTTCTCTATAATTCGAGTAACATGATTTATGTCGAGATAATTCCTTTAAAGGATCATTAAGGAAAGTTTCTTCTAAGAACAGCAATAACTTGACACATGATAAATCAAGGAATTAGTATATTTCAAGTTAAATTCTTGTCGCATAATTTTATTAATCTAATCAATTTAAAAGTAGGTACTTACAATAAAATTAAAAATTTATTTCAACAATATTTCAACCTTTGCCATTTTCAAAAGAAATGAGTAAAATTATTAATTAACTCATCAACTCACTATCTCAATTTTCTTATCTAGAATCATAAAATGAAAAAGTAAGATCGATGAAAAAGAGATTAAATGTCAAACAGTGAAGTTCATAAAAAGACTGTAGTATAAAGTTTCTACGATAATCTTGCGACGTAGAACCGATTCCCTAACTACATTTACATTCCGGCTACGAGAATTTTCAATTTCCTTTCGTCGTAAAAAGAAAAATGACGAGTAGCTTACCAGGTGACTCTTGCTTCCACTTTTATTAATGCTTTTCAGTCGTTCGGACCGGAGTGATAGGTTCCACTGGAACAATCCTTCGTGCGTTAAATAAATGGGAAAATTTTTGTAACACTTTCTAACAATTTGTAGTCTGATCATAAATAAAAGATTTAAGAAATAAGAGTTCCAACATTATTATGACACGTCCAAATTTTTACAATAGATAAATAAAGACGAGGAAAATGGTATCGAATATAAATTTACGCGAGAAAAGGGAAAATATTTAGAGAGAAGATACATTAATTTGAATTCATAGAGGATGAAACAGTTCTGAGTAAAGATGGAAGTAAATCATATGATGTTTGAATAAAGAGAAAAGAGAAAAGGAAGTTAGAAGAAACTAGGAACCAGCTTCTAGGATAATATTTCAATCACTGGAAGCGGAATACTTAAGATTAATTTATGATTCATTGGAATTAGAGTCATCGAAAATCTCTTCTTCGAAGTTAACGCTACAAATCGGTCAGTACCGGAATAATTACGCTTGATAATATTCCAGTACCTTGCAAACCTGTTTTGTACAACAGAGAACTCGTTTTCCTTTAAAGGAAACAAGGAAAATCCTGCGCTTCTAGCAAGGCGCCGCCATTTTGATGACCAAGTGTCACGAAATGGACGCTGTCTTCGATATTCAGTTAGAATTTTTATTCAAGAAAGAAATTTGTTTATGACTAATAATTAATTTTTAATATAATTTTGTTTTTCCAATAAAACTGTAACGATCATTTAATTTCTTTGATCAAATGATTCTTCTTAAACATTATATTCCGATAAAATATTTTCTAATTAATCTAGAACACTGAACATCCTTCACACATTTATGTATCTTGGTATCTGTAGAGTTTTAAATAGTTTCGATTAAATATTCATTATAATTCATTTTCCAAGGTATACTAATTATTCACTTATAGTCATGAATATTTTCTTCCTATTCGTTAAATTATTTCTTGTGTTTATGATAATCAGTTCTAAATTCAATTTCGCCTGGAGCAGTAATATGCTTCTTTTTCATATTATACTAAAAAAAATTCAGAAAATTAGCATGGCGATAATGAAGATAAGAACCTAATAATTTAATATATTCATATTCTTGGGAATTCACGAGTACGTGAATAGCAAAAACGTAAGGAAATTCCGGTCTTCCATGAAGTTACATCACTGTTTGTATCTCGAACGCAATACACGTTTTTCTGGTTAATTATAATAAATGCTTGTCAATACGAGACATACCAATTAATATTACATCTCGTCGATGTAACGAAATAAGAACTACGATTGGTTGCCGATCACCTTTGATAAATATTTCAGAACAGTGCATAATTTTGAGGTTATGCCTGTTACCTTATACTTATTACCTTCATATATCGTTATTTATTATGACGATAAAATTATGTTGATGTCACATTATATTATGATAGAATTACACTGATATAAAATTATTACGAGATTAAATTGTATAAATAATTAACTGTAATCAATTTTTATCGAAGTCTCTTCCAAGTGATCTTATTTACGTTAATATTCAACATTCGATATTAAATATTAATATAAATTAGATTATTTCGACGAAATTGACAATATTATACATTAAATTCATCTTAATTGTAAATAAAAATTGTTTTAACCTTTCAATTAAAATTGTTATATTGAAACGTGTAAATAATTTAATTACTTCATTAAAATTGAAATGGAAGTTGTCGCGGTATTAAATTTCCTTCTTCGAACCAAAATGGTCTCCATTTTCTGATCTGCAATTTCCAAGAATTTTTTTAGTTGTAATAGCTTATTATAAACGAATTTCAAAAATTTATTCACATCTCTCATGTAGCACAGCTGTATCTTATACTTACTATCTTATTACTTATTGTCTCAATCTATCGACATTTATTATAACGATAAAATTATGTTGATATCACACTATATTATATTATAATTATATTCATATACAATTATTACGAGATTAAATTATATAAATAATTAACTTTAATAAATCTTTATCAAAATTTCTACCAAGTAATCTTATTTACGTTAATACTCAACATTCGATATTAAATATTAATATAAATTAGATTATTTCGACGAAATTGACAATATTATACATTAAATTCATCTTAATTGTAAATAAAAATTGTTTTAACCTTTCAATTAAAATTGTTATATTGAAACGTGTAAATAATTTAATTACTTCATTAAAATTAAAATAGAAGTTTTCACGGTATTAAATATCTTTCTTGGAACCAAAATGGTCTCCATTTTCTGATCTGCAATTTCCAAGAATGTTTTTAGTCGTAATAGCTTATTATAAACGAATTTCAAAAATTTATTCACATCTCCCACGTAGCACAGCCGTATGAATTTCACACCGTTCGATACGTCGTTCGAGAAATCGACCTCGAGGAAGTCTCTGTACACGCTCGTCCTCACTTTCCTGACGAACCGAATTTATTGCCACCCGCTTGCCGCGAATTCTTGGAAAGCGGAATTTTGACCGGGCAGCCTCGACTTCATTCCGTAGGAAACGCTTTCCTTGAGTGCCGAGGAAATTCTCGTAAATTCGCGCATCACGTACCCGGGTCAAGGCAGTGCGTTTCTATTGCTTCGATCCACGTTTCTCGCTTATTACCCACGACTTCCGTTTCCCCAGCTTTCCCTCGTCCTCCTGTATTTTCAAGCGCGAAAGCATTGCGAGCGGTTTTGACCGACTGAACGGGCGAAGCTGCGATTACTTTGCGAAGGATTGAGTTGTAGCTTTCGTTGACTTTTTGTTTTCTCCTTGACTCCGTTCCGTGGTTTATTTTTCTTCTTACCGTGGATCATTGTAAATCGAGAGATTTGAGAATTTCGAGCTTCGCAGGCATCGAAGCTTAGAAAAATCGTTAGCTCCAGGAATATTATTTAATTTACTTTTTGGCAATTATAGGGTTTTAAATGTTTTTAGATACTTTTAGTTTCTCAACTGGTGTAAATAATTTTAGAAATGATTTTTAAATATTTCCGAGCGAATTTTCATGGTAGCAGGATTTTGAATTTGGGGAGCAGGGTTTTTAAAAATGATAAATATCGAGGATATATTAGTGGTTGGTAAAATTGAGATTAATGAAGGGTTGAAGTAATATTTTTCTTTCGTTTTGTCATTTAAAGGGCTACAGGTATGTAGTATTTAAAAGTGAGGACAGAAGGGAGTTTTCATGTTTGGAAA